CCTCTGTCAGGGTTCTAGGGTGTCTCTGCCTTGGGCACACATAGGGAAAAAAAGCTGGGTTCCAAAATGAGCCCGGTCTGGGGGGGTCTCACTTGTACTGGTCCTCTACAGAACTTTGGGGCTCCATCCTTTGATGACAAGAAGCTGGAGGTTGTGGCCGTCTTTGGCAGCATCCAGATGGCTGTGTCACGGGTCATCAACCTCCAGCACCATCGCATCGCACAGGTAGGGACAAGGGACCCTGCGTGGTGCTGGAAAGCTTTTGGGACACCAGCTGAACCTGGGGTGGTGCGGCTGAGCTCCTGGCTGGCACTGGCACGGCCCTGTGAGGCTTTTCAGCCCTGGCACAGCGGCTGAAGCCAATGGTGCCGTGCCAGCCATGATGTCAATCCGCCCCACAGTGCCGCGTGGTGAAGATCACCATCCGGGGGGACGAAGGTGTCCCCGTGCAGGTAGATGGAGAAGCCTGGATCCAGCCACCCGGCATCATCAAGATCCAGCACAAGAACCGAGCCCAGATGCTGACAAGGGACCGGGTGAGCTGGGGGTTGCACAGCCCGCACAGCAGGCCCATGCTGAGCCATGGGGAGATGTGACAGGCTGAGCGGGGCCACCTCCATCCTCCACAGGCATTTGAAAGCACCCTCAAGTCCTGGGAGGACAAACAGAAGGGGGAGAGCTACCGAACGGCTGCCCGGCCACGGCTCAGCTCCCAGCAGTCCATGGAGTACCTGACCGAGGAGGAGAGCAGCCTCTTGCAGCAAGTCTCGCGGGTCGCAGAGACCCTCATTTCCAGGTCAGGCTGTGGGATGGGGGATGTGGGGGCAGTGAGGGGGTAGCGTCACTGTGGCCACCCAGAGCTATGGGGGTCTCTTAGTCCCGTGCTGCCTGTCCAGCCTGGGGGAGCCCCAGCAGCTCCAGCCCCTCTTGCCTGCAGGATCCACGAGGCAGCCAAGGCTCACAAAGCCGTGGAGCAGGAGCTGGCGCATGCTGTCAACACCAGCTCCCTGGCGCTGAGCGAAGCCCTCTCCAACAAAGCTGCTGGCACCTCGGAGGTGAGCTAGGGCTGGGAGGTGCTAGGCACCCTTCATCCAGCCGCCCTGGAGCCCTGCTGCTCAAGGGGTCATCCCTCCATGCCCCCTAGTTTCTC